TCCAACTTTCTTCCTACTGTGACCTTTTGTTAGACACAAAAACGTTTGATATTCTATCTCCCTGAAAATGACAGAGTTCCGGTTCCGGCCATGCTTTTTTTACTAGTTCCGGCCGGAACCGGAACTCTAAAAAATCGGGGTTCCGGGGTACCATGAGCATGAGTTTTGTACACACTCAGAGTCTTAGTTTTGGGTTGAACAAGTGGCCTTAATATCTTTCTTGATACTTCAGGATATTGGAGAAAAACTGGAAAACAATCCGTGATGAAGGTGTGTCACTTTACGATCCCAAGAAAGGGGCGTTCGTTCCAGAAGAGGAAGGACTGCGGGAGAAAGGAGATTGGCAACAATTTACGATGTTTCATCAAGGAAGAAAAGACAAAACAGCGTGTGCCAAGGCTCCAAAGACTTGTAGTCTGGTTGAGAAAATACCTGAAGCTGCTGGGTGCAGGAGAGGACAGGTACTAAACAGGGCCGGATTAACGTCGCGCGAGGCCCGTGGCAGATTTTAGCGCAAAAATTGTTAAATAATTGCTTTCAATATTTCAATTGATTGGCATCAATTATAAACAATTGCCTGCCTGGCCCAGTTGTTGGGTCGACAAGTATAAACAGGATCATATATATAACAGATCAGCGCAACTGGAGATTACATGCATACGAGTATTGCATATTTTCCTGGGGTAAACTGCCAATCCTAGGGGCCCTAAATGCGTGATGTCCCTAATTCGCGAGGCACCTAAAATGGGCGTATCCCAATAGAAAATAGGCGTGTTCTCGTAAAAATGGGTGTGGCACAGTAAAGTGCGAGGCCCGCATGCATATGCCATGTGGTTAATACGCCTGGTACTAAATGTCAAAGTTCTTCTTGTATTTTTCAGGGCGTTGTATCCCTATCAGTCTGAAGCTTTTTTATTATTTCTACGACCTACACTGACAGTTGAACTAACAGTAACTTTATTTGGACTTGATGAAAGTGTTTTGTATATAACCTTAGCTATACCTGTGTTTCAGGTCAAGTTTTCGGTGATGAAACCGGGTACTCATATCTGGGCACATTGTGGTCCTACCAACTGTCGTATCCGAGGCCATCTGGGGCTGGTCATTCCTGATGGGGTCTCTATAAGAGTAAATCAAACAACAAGGTTGGTCAAGTTGTCAGACTGAGAAATATTATTAGTTCTTTCCATATCATTGAGTACTAATCCAAGACTCAAAACTTAAATTTTTTCTCAATTTTTTAGTACCTGGCAAGAAGGCAAGTTTATAATCATTGATGACTCAATTGAACATGAAGTCTGGCACAATGGAACGACTTTTAGAATGATATTGATTGTGGATTTCTGGCATCCTGATTTGCCGAAGAGCGAGCGAGACACCCTTTCAGCAATATAAGAATGAATGAGCAAATGGCCTGATTTATAGCAGACAGATCATCTCTTTTAGACTAGCTAGTGTAAAGTTTGTGAGCACAAGACTAACTATCCAGATGGTCTGAATGAATGAATTTTTAAGTCAAAGTAGATTAATTCCTTTCTCCAAGTTCATCCAGACAGATCATCAGTCTCTCGTGTAAACCAGGCGCAATTATTTAGACAGTAAAAGTGAGTAAGCATGACACAGCTGATGAACAAGTGGAGAACATTTGCTTGGTTGCATGTAGCAATGTCTTAGGAATATTTATTTGGTCATGATGTTAGCAGCATTGGCTATTAATTGGTACACTGCTGAGGTATAATGCAAAGACAAACATAGCATAACTAATTTATATAATTGCTTTTAATACAGTTTTTAAAAATATTTTTATTCAATAAAAACATCAAAGTTAGTAGCAGTTACAGTTTAAAAAGCCAGGAAACCTTAAACTAGTCCAATCTACCAAATTACAACACTGCAGCTCCACAGCCAGCTCAGCTCACATTCAAGCCTTCTACAATCTACCAAATTACAACACTGCCAGCTCAGGTCGCATTCAAGCCCTCTACAATCTACCAAATTACAACACTGCTGCTCCACAGCCAGCATGGCTCATGTTCAAGCCCTCTACAATCTACCAAATTACAACACAGCCAGCTCAGCTCACATTCAAGTCCTCTACAATCTACCAAATTACAACACCGCAGCTCCACAGCCAGCGCGGCTCACATTCAAGCCCTCGACATTCATCCAAACATTCTTAACTGCATCATACATTTCAACCGTGTTCAAGCGGTTTGCACCATCAAACCCACCAATAGCAAAAATATTTTCCTTGTATACGACAATGGCCGCCCATGCCCGCGGGCTGTTCATGGGCGCGACCGGGGACCAGTGGTGTGTGTGGGTGTTGTATCGCTCCACTAGGTCGAAATAAGAGTCGGTGCTTCTGTTGCGTCCACCTACTGCATAAATACATCCGTTCAAAGACACAAGACCAAGGCCTGATCTTGCTTTCTCAAGTTCAGTGACAAACGTCCATTGATCTAACTTGGGGTCATAACACTCGACGGACGCACGGTCAGCATGGATACCTCTGTCGTAACCACCGGCAACATAGAGAAGGCCTAGAATGTAGGGAAGTGGAACTACATTAGTTGGACATTACAAAAGGGACAGATACAATAGTACCACACAGAAGCTGTAAGTGGGTTAATTTCACTAAGCAGTATTGTGCAACAGATGTTGGTCAACCTGCAGTTATCAGAGTGAGAAAATAATGTTCATTCTTTTCATTAAATGCAGTAGTCTTGCATTTGGAGGTAAATCAATAACAATTGAGAGATGTTGCATGCAATGGTTTTAGGCAAAAGTTGTGTGGTGAAAATCGGCCTTAAAGTTGACCCCAATCTGTTATGCTGTCACACTTGCTGTACTGCCAGGCCTTAAAATATCGGTCGGTCACGGACATTGTCCGACCCATTCGTGAAATTGTCCGACGTAGAGAGGAAACCACCGGACATTCTGTCCGACCTAAGTGAAACTGGGGTTTATTGTTTGTCCGACCTGAGTGTATTGGTGTCAGACCAAACTGTAGCTTTGTCCAACGTAAATCGATCAAAATGTACCCTATCCCAGGACTAGAGGCTTGCATGTTAAGTGGAAAATAAGAGTACTATTGTATAAAAGGTGAACTGGAAATGTTGTTTAATTTTAACGTACTCGAAAACAGGCTCGTAGTCTTTTTTAAAACTGCTGTTCTAGAAAGCGAGTTAATTTTGGCTTGGAAATAAGTACAACTTCACAACATTTACCGTTCAGAATTAATACAGTGTGCTGATATTCATTTGTGCCATTCAGACTTATTTCCGAGTTAAAACTGAACTGAAGGTCATCGGACATATGTCCGACCCAAACTAAACGTCATCGGACATTTTGTCAGACGGCCCTGTAAAAGATATTTTAAGGCCTGTGTACTGCACTGATAAACACTCACCATTGCAGACAGCAGCTCCCGCACCAGATCGACGTCGCTTCATGCTCTGTACTTGCACCCAGAAATCTCCAACAGGGTCGTACTTCTCTACAAAACTATATGAACACAACCTATCCTCCCCACCTAGCGCATACACATAACCATCAAATGACACTGCCGAGATGAAAGAACGAGGAATTGTTAGATCTGCAGCCGTGTGCCAAGTCTTCTCCCGTGGATGGTAAACCTCAACTGTCTTTTTATAAGTTGTGTCCCCATGTGCAGTGCTTGTTCCGTTTGCACACTCTCCACCAATCACGTACAGGCATCCATTAAAAGCACACGCACCAACGGCAGTTCTTGCACACGTCATTGGCTCTAACGTTAACCACTTGTTCGTAGCGACGTCAAACTGTTCTAAGCTCGGTAATTGACAAGAGTTACTGTTACGCCCACCGACCGTGTACAGGGTATGTGGCTGGGTTCTTGGTAAGAACATATATGGCGGCAAATTACTTTTATGATCGTTCAAAGCGGTCGCGAGAAGCATTTGACATTTACTATCATTCTTAACAAAGCTTGCAGGAACCACTCTTGTTTCCAGAAACTCCAATGAGATCAACGGCAGCCGTACATGTTGCAAAACGTCGGATGCACACAGTTTCCTTTGTTCATAGCAATGAGTTATCCAGAGTTCCACCGCGTTAAAAATCTCGTCCTCTGAGTAAACTTGCAACAAGTTACATTTCAGTAAATCAACAAGACTATCCTTACTTAATTCTAGGAACTCGTCACTCTGCACAACTTCTAGGAAATGTTCACAGATATACTTGAATGCAAAACACTCCAGACTTGAACACGAATATAAATCAGCAAATGCCCGAATACCGATACAGTTTGTATAATCAATATGCGCTTCGAGAAAATTTGAACAAGACTTAGTGAGGCTTGTTAGGTGCAACATTGAAGCACCTGCATATAATTGCTGAACATTTGCAGTTGTCAGTTCAACAGAGCCTGTGTAGACAAACTCCAGAAGACTGGCCATTGTCTGTGGATCAATCCCACCTAAGTCTATCTTAGTTTTGCCACTTTCTAGCATGCCATTGGTAAACATAGCTTGTAGATAACGACTTGCACCGGCCAGGACGATACGATGCGCGGGAAACTCGCACTGGTCCACACATAAAACCACATCACAGAGTTGAGACTTGCCTCGCATTTCATTCATCGCACGTAAACAATCGTTTGAATACATCGGAATATCGACACGACATCGCGACGCCATTTTCATGAATAAAAACACACATCGACAAATAAAATTGAACTCTTTTTCTCAAACATGAACGCCCAAAACCGTTAGATCATCCCCTAGTTTTGGCAGATACACATAGTTCCAATTAAGTTCAGAGCATACGACATGTAAAAACAACATTTTGAAAGTAAACAAACATGGACAAATAATTATGCGAATAATTACAGTATATACATTACGTCATATGATCACGTGAACAATGCATGTTCAAAATCACGCGCGTACAAACCAGGGGGATGCGAACATACAATATAATCGTACTGCATCTTGTTTTTTATTTAAAAACACAAAATAAAATCACTGTAAATGAAATGTTAATGTTCATTTGTTTAGCAAATACTCTACTTATATTGATAATTCCATAGTTGGATTTATTTACTGTACTCAAACGTCTATTTTCTGGCCAAAATTACATCTTAATTAATTTAATAATTTTCTAGTAAAACTTTACAACACAAAATAAAAGAACTTAAGAACATACCTAGCACAGTATTCTTCTGTTAACATAATTCTTTTCAAACAGTTCATAAATGAAGAATAAAATCCACTCTTTGAAAGTTAAAACAAACGTCTTCTTCGCACTGAAATGACCCCCCCCCCTGACAATATGGTCATTCTCAAAATGACATCACCACGGCACACCTAAATACTTTGTGTAACTTTAGTTAATGTTAACTGATTTCAATGCTGAATCTTAATGATTGACAAGTTGGGCTTTTATAACTAATGACACGTATATTAACATTTAAAAATGTTTAATAATTTCGTAATATGTGTTGTTTCTATCGAACTTAACACACATTGCGAGACACATGATTCAATTCTAGTTGAACATTCTTCAAAAACTATTTTATTGTATTCTAAACGTCTTACACAGGTGATGACGGTTTATACAAATCCAAATGTCTTAGTTTTGATCGCCATAAGAAGTTTATTTTTGAGGATGAGTTTAGACGAGTATAGCGGGATGTAGAGTCGTGAGATGCAAGTGTTCGCTGTAGGCAGTTGTTGATCATTCGCAGGCTTCACTGTCACTGAGGGTTTCGGTTGAAAACCTTCTTCACTGGCTGGCAAGGAAGGACTAGAGGTCCAGAAATACATCTAGAAAGAAGATATGATTAATGTCGAAACAAGTTAGCATTTCAGAAAACCTTTCATGTTTGGCAAAAATCTCACAACTTGTCAACAATATGTACTTGCAACAGGCTTGTAGCAAGCTTGTTAACAAGTTGTGACAATGATGTTATTTTATCAAGTTGCTACAAGGTTGTCACTCACAACTTGTTGACAAATTGTTGAATTGCAGGACGATACCAAGTTGCTGGAACAACCGGTAACAAGTCTGTTGAGCTCAACAACCTTGTAGCAAGTTGTCAACAAGTCGTTGATAACTTGTCAACAAGCTGGGAACAAGCAGTGCGAACACATCCTGTTGACGAGTTGTTGGAACAGCATTGCTACAAGTCTGATGCAGTTTGTTACAACTTGTACGTTTTTACGTGCGACTGAGGAAACATTATGACCAGGCAACTGCAAATTACAGGAATCCACAAAGATGAAAGTTCCAAATGAAGCTTACCAAATCTTGTCTTTGTGCCATTGGCATCTTCTCCAAAATGGACCAGAACCATTTAAAAAACTTGAGAAGCTTTGCCGAACCAGCCCCTGCATCAAAATGCAACAAGAACATTTAGAACAAATTAGAACATTAGAACAAATGGGCGAAACAACTTTGGCGTACCTCCAGACTCGTCGTTAAATGAAGTATAGTCCATGAGTTGAGGAATCTTCACTTCACCAGTGCCGTTGAGAAGTAAGCGGAAATCTTCCGCGGTTAAACCATCCAATGAACTTGCAGGAATTGTATCCAGTAAACCTGCACGCATTGCCTAGGAATGCATTATGGAGGATATAGTTTACAACTGATAGAGCTATCCAGGGTAAATAAAGTTAGTTTGGTTCAATTAGACATGATCCTTACTGGACCTCTAGGAAGAACAGTTTAGAACTGAAAGAACTATCCAGTATAAACAAATTTCCTCCTGTAGTAACACTTGATCAATAAGAGATGATCCTTACAAGACCTCTAAAAAGAAATGTTTAGAACTCAGAGAAATATCCAGCATAAATAAAGTTAGTTTAGTTTAGGTTTCCTCCTGTAGTAACACTTGATCAATAAAAGATGACCCTGACAAGACCTCTAAAAAGAACAGTTTAGAACTGAGAGAAATATCCACTATAAATAAAGTTAGTTTAGTCCTTAAATCCCTCCATACCTTCAAAGGTTTCTTGGCGCAGACCTCCATCCTCTGTAAAGCATATTTTCTGGCATAACTATGTACATTAGCCGGGGTCACAGCGCATTCCTGACCGCCTGGCATCAAGTCTACCCGTTTCGCGCCTTCATCCGGGCTCAACTCAACACTAAATGTTATATCTAGTGCCGAGAACAATTCGGTGGCGTTCGGAAGCTCGGCATCCACGATCAATTTTCGAAGTGTTTCGTACATGGTCGGATCAAAGAAAGCAAAATCATGCCAGCCAATCTGAAAAGAGAGTTATCTCACAACATCAGTGAATGCAGATTCCTTTCTGGCTTTAACTTGGGGTTTTATAATGAATATACAATGTCAACCTTACCGTGCGTCCTAGTAAAAACTTGATAACATGACGATTCAATGTGATTGGACAAATTTCATTCTGTACAAGGCAGAGACCAATCACCCTATAACGACACAAGAGGTCTGTAGAGGTCTGCTAGTTTAAAACTGGTAGTCAGAGCTATTCAACATAAATAAAGTTAGTTTAGTTTAGGTTTCCTCCTGTAGTAACACTGGATCAATAAGAGATTATCCTTGCTGGACCTCTAGGAAGAACAGTTTAGAACTGATAGAGCTATCCAGTATAAATAAAGTTAGTTTAGTAAACCTACCTTCCAACATTACGAAAAGCATTCAATCTCTCGGAGGTATTATTTCCTGGCCGGGGGGAGTAGAACCCAGAATGACCAGGTTGATAAAACAAAGCTGCATTATCCTCCTCGGCCGGGGGGACGTCTGGCGCAGAATTCACTGTAGGTGTTGTTGAAGGCGCGGTTACATCAACTTCGTCCTTGTTTGCTTCTCTGAAGGATGAATATGATACATATACATGTTATAGTGGTATAATTTGATACTCGCGAGTGTCACAGTGGTTAGTACATATCTCATTGACCGGTGTTTTATTCCTACAATATGTAGTTCAATCAGTTTACTTATAGAGTCACTTATCTTTGTTTCCTCACCTATTTTTCTTCAATAAAAGTTCAACAGCTTCGTCCACTCTGGTTCTTAATGTGTCTTCACTCGCCAACAACAGCAAGAGTTGAGAAGGTGAGAGTTCCAACAACATACCAGTAATCTTACTTGCAAACGCCTAAAGAAAGAGAGAACAGTCTAAAACTGATACAGCCATCCAGTATAAATAAAGTTAGTTTAGTTAGGTTTCCTCCTGTAGTAACACTGGATCAATAAGAGATATCCTTACCGGACCTCTAGGAAGAACAGTTTAGAACTGATAGAGCTATCCAGTATAAATAAAGTTAATTTAGTTTAGGTTTCCTCCTGTAGTAACACTGGATCAATAAGAGATGACCCTTACTGGACCTCTAGGGAGAACAGTTCAGAACTGAAAGAGCTATGCAGTATAAAAAAGTTAGTTTAGATTAGGTTTCCTCCTGTAATAATAGTGGAACAATAAGGAACGACTCTTACTGGACCAACAGTGTAAAACTGACAGAGCTAGCTGCCTCCGGTAAGGACTGACACTTACCGGGTGCATGGACTGTACTCGAGGGTAAAGTCTCTCCCCTATAGACTGTCTATGTGAAGGCAAGGCATCCCCCTCGCCATCATCGCTGTCAGCACTATCACTGCGACTGTAGAAGAACGGTCTGGCATCAGCATTGAGCTGTTGATGACTCTCCTGATGGTCGCGATCACGCAAACGATCCTTTCGAGCACGAAACATTTTTCTTCGCTCACGTTCACGCTCTTGAGCACGAAGTTTGTGCATGATTGAAGAACCTTGAACGAAAACAACAATAAATGGTAGAAACTTGGTGCAGGCAACACGTGTTTAGTGTACGTCACTTCTCTGACACGCATTTAAGAAGGGGGAAATATGGCCTGATACTCAGATGAATACAGGAGCTATTCAGTATAAATAAAGTTAGTTAAGTTTAGGTTTCCTCCTGTAGTAACACTGGATCAATAAGAGATGGTCCTTACTGGTCCTCTAGGAAGAACAGATTAGAGCCGATATAAATAAAGTATAAACAAAGTTAGTTTAGTTTGGTGAGTCGGAGTATCAGGCTCTACTCAGGCTCTATTTTCTCTTCCATCCACCCGCAATTAAGGAAGGGAAAATATAGCCTGATACTCAGGTGTATGCAGATGAACTTACTAGCAGAAGGCGTGGTTAAATTCTCCAACTTGGGCAGTTTATCAGCAGACATGAAAGCATTCCCAATGGCAGTAAAGAAGCTTCTGGTCACCCCACTCCCTTCCCCAGGCTCGTTTTTAAACGTGACTTTAACACGATGTATGACTGAGGGTTTACAAGTGGGTGGACGACGACCAAAGTGAGAATTGAGTTGACGGATTGTTTGTTGAATTAACTGGTCGTGATCGCGTTCCAGCTGGAAGAGAGAAAAGAAAATCATTTTGTTAGAATCTCACAACTTGTCAAGTTGTAACAATGCTGTTATTTTATCAAGTTGCTACAAGGTTGTCACTTACAACTTGTCAACAAGATGTGTTCGCAACAGGCATGTAGCAAGCTTGTCAACAAGTTGTAACAATGCTGCTATTTCATCAAGTTGCCACAAGGTTGTCACTTACAACTTGTCAACAAGATGTGTTCGCAACAGGCTTGTAGCAAACTTGTCAACAAGTTGTAACAATGATGTTATTTTATCAAGTTGCTACAAGGTTGTCACT